ATATGAGCACGTATTTACATCTTAACCAGTAATGAAGTTTCCACACCAAATACTTTATTTCACAAAACAAGAGAACTAGACTATTCACATGCCTATAGACATAACGGAAAAATAAAATATAATATTCTTAAAATCTTGAATTATTCACATCCTACACCATTAATCTGTAAATATAACAGAAATAACATATATGTATCAGATAGTTAATAAAATATCATACAATGAACTATTACCCTTACAACTATGAGATTATACAGTAAATGAGGTAAAACCATGAAATGGGGTGTAAGAAAATACTAATAAATTTAAAACTGCTGTAACTGATATTCTCTACAAGACAAAAGCAACAGCACAACTTTTTGAGAGCTTTATAAAAATAATAATATTTAAATGAAAGCACTGTAAAAACGTTTTACTCCATGGTCCTGTTATTGAGCAGCTGTCTTAAAATGTTAAATGGCAGAATACACTTTCTCAAGAAATTAATCATCTGGTGCTAATACCATATTCCTTAGCAATATTTTCAGCAATAACCAACTTTTGGACATCATTGACACCTGCATAAATCTCTGTGATGCGGGCATCACGGTAATGCCTTTCAGCTGGCATGTCAGTCACATAACCCATACCACCAAGAATCTGTACACAGTTATGTGAAACAAAAGTAGCTGCTTCTGATGCTGCCAGTTTTGCCATTGATGAATACTGAAATAAAAATTGTAATACACTACACAAAATTTAAGTACAGAAAATAAATAATATTCAGCAGATAGCCACATAAACACCATGCAATTACAAAATTTGGTTTGGCACATCTATAATTTTTTTGGGATAATAAAACAGCATAACTGTTCTATATAATAATTTAGAAATATCTTATGTGTCCATGGAACAATCTAAACATGACTAAGTAATCAATATGATAAATAAAAAATACAATAAAGCCTTTCACTCCTCTTGGATCACCAGAATTCAACTTGACACTCAGCTGAGGTTAAAGTTTATTCTGACACCAGATTCATACAAGCTCTGCCAGCCTCATATCTAATGGTACCAAGGCTATCTCCCAGGGGATAAAGAAACCAAGGTGCGAAGCTGACCACTCATTTAAATCTAGTGCTGAAGTTAAGAATGTGCAGAGCTTAGACATAGGCAAATTTAATCAGAAGAGTCTTTAATGCCATAAATTACAAGAAACAATAGTAGCATTGTTACATACTTTGGTGCTTCTTTCACCAGTGTCACGTATAACAGCAGCTCTCCAAGTTAGAAGTCTAGCAGCTTCCAAGCGTATAGCCATATCAGCCAGTCTTTGCTATGTGAAATAAATAAATTATGTAACATTAATTTAATTAATAACAATTTCATTATTTAAATTTGTGAACTGTCAAACCTAGACGACTCAGAGGCTAGCTCAACCAGGGGGCCCAACAAATAGGTTTGCTCTCCTTTTTCCCCTTGTTTACCTGAAGATGAAAGCAAAATCCACCTTCTAAAAATCTGTAATTTTAGAATTTAGACAATGGATAAAGTCCAAAAGAACAATTCTGCATAACATACAATATTCTTTTTACATAAATTTTGGCATTAATTGATTATGTACGAATTCAATCACTTTGCTTCCCTAAATTTAGCTGATTAGTAAGGACTCTCATCTGCAAATCTCTTCTCCATGATAGCTAACAGCTTTATCAATTGCACTCCAGCAAAGACTGTTTTATTATATTTGTATGCAAAGAGTCTTTGTGCAAATCCAATGGATGACACCAGTAGATCAAATTTATATTGAACTTCCTCAAATTCTTGCAAGAACAGTCCATTAAAAATCTATTCTAATAACAATATCAATTTTTCTTACTTCCATATTATAACGTTTGTTCTATTTCCATTTTATAGTTCTATTTTCATTTTGTATTGCTTAGCAAGAGACGAGAAACTCCTTGGATCTGTATAGATAAAATTTTATAAAGACAGTTATTTTCAGAAATTACTGATACTGTGCATCACCCTTGCTGTTTCCATTATCTTCCAAATTTTGTAAATTTTATTAAACTGTAAATATCCATCCTTTACATCAATTATATTCTTCCTCATCAAAACTACATGAAGAGCACTTTCCACCAACTGATGATCTGTCCATTTTTTCAATTGCATAAGTATACATTAATGTATTCCACAACATAATCTGTTCCGTTACACACATTAAGTACTGTGTACCTATTAATTCAAATTTAACATTATATTCCATCATAACAAAAAACAATGCTTTACAGTTTTATAAAAATGAGGAGTCTTACAAAGAAATACTGAGGAATGCAGATAAAAATTTAAAGCACGAATCCCTACCCCACCATTCAGGCATGCTGCAAAGTAGTCCTGTTCTTATTTTTGAAATTGGAAAACTTTACAATGTGGTGCAAGATATTTCTTGAAAGTTAACATCTATTCAACTGAACACAAAATTCCCTTCATGGAACCCACAGATTAATTACAACTTTCACTACAGCCCACTAACTGATCTTATTCTGTGTGCGTTCAATCCAGTTTAGACTTTCATATACAAATCTTAAAACTTTGCATACCATGTAGTGTATTGAAAATATAAAAATAAGTATACAAACAAACTGTTAACACTATAAATGACACTAGTGCCAAGCGGATTTTGATCTCAAGAGGTCATCATCAGTGGCTAAAAGGGGGAATTAATTCAGATAATATGGATACTGGGAATGACCCGTTCTTCAAGTACCTGAGCAGTGAGGGAACCAAATTTTTCGTTGGCTTGATCTATAGACATTTTGATCGGCACGTCACAAGGCCTCTACCTGTACACAGGACAGCACAACACAGAAACACGCGGAAAAACATCCATGCCTTGAGTGGGATTCGAACCTACGGTCCCAGCGCCCAAGCAGCAGAAGGCCCACACCTCAGACTGCGCGGCCACTGCGGACCCCATTCATATAATATGATCAAAAGAAAATGGTTTTAAAAAAGATCATAAAGGTGAGTTCTTTACAAAATCATATTAAGTAACACAGTAACATCCAGTCAAGTGTTACTTAACTTCTGCGTCAAAATATTTAATATCATCCAGTAACTAACCTGGACACTCTGTAATTTGATAATGGGTCCTCCAAATGCAATCCGTTTAGATGCATAGTCAACAGCGCAATCCAATGCAGCCTGTGCAATACCAAGGGCTTGTGAAGAGATGCCAATACGTGCACCATCTATAACAATAAACGTCACGTGTACGTTAATGTGAGAAGATTTTAATATGCCAGGATACTGTGTGGGAATATTAGCACTTACCTATAACAATAACTATTTCTGTGACATGATAACAGCATCTCCATGAACCTAATTTCCGTGTATAGATGCTGCTTCCAAGCATTAAAATTTTGAAAACATTTCAAATTAATTACATGTATCCCCAATCAGAAACTGATATATCATGACTGTGTTACTGATTTTGATTTCTTGATTTTTTATCAATGCAACAGATTATTTCTCCACAGATGTACAGATGTCCATTTCATTTAAAAGCTTGAATTTGTATACAGAAACAAGGAGATAATACAAATTAATAATTACACAATTTAATGACCATTGTACTACATTTCAGTAACACAGAAAGTTATAAGACATGATCTCAATTTCATACTGTTACCCAATTTGTTACCTTTAACACACAAAAGTGTTTCATACTAAACCCACAATCAAACATCATGTCTAACTACAACAGCTCATCAGTTATGGCCATAAAACAGAAAAGTAAATAGTACATACAAACACAAAAAAAAAACAGCTTCATGTTATAATATAATGCATGTTGACCTTACATATTTCCATTACCTGAAAATAGTTTTTATTTACTATTAGCATGACTTGCCTAGCATTTTCATTGCAAGTTTGAAGCCACCTCCAACTTCTCCCAAAACATGTTCTTGTGGAACCCTAACATCCTCTAGGATCAGGTTGCAAGTAGAAGAAGCACGTATACCCATTTTATCTTCCTTCTTTCCTAATGAAAAACCTGAAGAGCAAAGCACAGTTTGGTCAGCTTCAATACACCCTTAAAATCACTAAGTTTTGTTAAATTCTATCAGACCAAAACACTAACCTGGGGTTGGAACAGGAATAATAAATGCTGTGATTCCTCTGTGTTTTTTGCTTTTATCAACAGTAGCAAACACAATAGCTGCCTTTGCCTCATAGCCACTTGTTACCCATGCCTTTGTACCATTTAACACCCATTCATCCCCATCAAGTTTTGCTGTTGTCAGCATAGCTCCTACATCACTGCCAGCACCTGTAACAAGTTTAAAAATTAAAATTAGAAAGTATGTACCATGAAGCAAAGTAGTACATTCATCTGGACAGGGATCATGCACACACACACACTGCCATGTTTGAAGCCCTTCACATACTTACCGGGTTCACTGATGCCAAAGCATCCAACATGGGTGCCATCTACAAAACCAACAAGAAACTTGTCCTTCTGCTCCTTAGTTCCAAGCTGATCCAATACATTTGCATATAATGTATTATGGACACTAACAATGGTTCCAGTACCTCCACAGCCCCTGCAAATTAAATGGGATATATGAAGAGAGAGAGAGAGAAAGATACAACAAACAAACATCAGATATAAATTATTCTGTAACTTTATTCTACACATCCCATTACTACAATTCTGGGATTTGTAAAATGTGTCATGCTTGTCTGTCTAATGCTGTGTTCTACTACAGTTTTGCTATGAGGCTTACTCAAATGGTAACAGACAAAAGTAATAGAATATGGATATAATATTTTCAGACTGTTTTAAAAAATTAAGGAAGTAAAAAAAAAACTAGTACACAACATAAATGAAAAAACCATATTTACTGATACCCATGTTGGTCTCTTTATTATCAAATCTTTCCTAAGTTCAGTGTGAAGATGAACGTTTCTTTTTTATATGATATTCCAGATAATTAGAAGGTTTGGTGGTGGTGGTGGGAGTACAATCTATAAATCATATTTTCATTACTAACCTGGAAGACAGTAAAGAACATAATGATCAATAATTATATAGCACAAGAAGTGATTACAGTGCACTGCAACACAAATGATAATATAACATACAAGACTTTGGCAGGGATAATAGGATTCTGACACTTGCCAACACATAAACTCCATTACTTTTATATAGCACAAACCAAATAACTCCAGGCACTAAATGCACATATGTAAATTCTCCCTCTGCCTTAATGGCCATATTAATTATTTCTTGATCTCATAACCTCCCTTTTGCAAGATATTTGCAATCATTCAGTTTTAATAATCAGCAATAGTGAATGTGGGAGGGATGGCCATCTTGCACAAGCCACCCTCTGGAATTCCATGCAAATATGCTATTTAAATTGTTTCATATAACTGAGAACCACTGTACTTAAATACAAACAAGGCTTGCAGAAATGCACAGAAGTCTCACATCAGGTGCATCCCATATTCATACATTGGCTGCAATGTGAAAAACAGGTTTTGACTGAAAAATATCAATTTTATAAAATATTCACTGAATTATATACTAGTACAAAAAATGTGTCCATCCTAAAAAAGCAGTCCATATTCCAATTTGGCCCCAAATTACAAGCACTCACTTTATTTATAAGATCTGATGTTCTCGGGGTAGTGAAGATGTCAGTGTTGCTTTCCTGGTTTGTAACACTACGTAGACTTACAGGTAGGTATTAATGCTCTTCTGATACACCAGTATCCACACAATTCCACACTGTGTTATAACTCAGAAGATAAATTCTGACAATTACTTTACTTAACTAAAGAATCAATATCAAATTCCATAGGAGAACCCAGCAAAGTAAAATTATTACTTGTTCAGTGATAAACAGACAGATGTGCCAACACGAACTCAACATTGTTCCAAAACAAACAACTAGATCTCGTAGAGTTCTTGTTAAACTTTTCTGGGGCTGCAGGAATAAGAAAGTTAACCCTTCATTTTCCCCAGACTGTATTTATGGGTTTCATATCATTCTCAGAACAAACAGTAATAACCAAGTGTTCTCTGTACTGAAGAAGTGTTGTTTCCCTTGAGGATGGAACTGAATTATTACATATTACTTAGATGAACATTAGTTTCAAAAGGTTATTATAGTAATAATAAGCAGCCAGCATTAGAATATGTAAATATAACTATGGTATTTCAAGGATGAATTTTATACATTGGATACATTGGTAAAAAAAAGTCTACAGTTTGTCTGTGATAGATAATGCAAATTCTTCCAAAGAAAATTACATGCTTGAAGTTCACAAGTATGGTCTGATATCTTTTAAAAATATAAATTGTATACTTGTTCAGAAGCAGTCTGATGGTTTAATGTTGCTCAACTGATTGGCTGTAAACTCAGTCTTTCCTGACCTTGAGTATTAATCTAGAAACCTTCACTGGAATAGATATGTTACACATTACATAATGCTTAATGTTTGCCAAAATACATTACATTTGTACTACCTAAGGAACCAAGATCATAGGCAAACTAAACTCAGTGCACTGAGTAGTCCTACAAACTCTGTTTCAATTTAACCATTCACACAGGAATTTTCATTTAGTTCTTCCTGATTTAACATCTGATAAATTTCAGTCTAAAATTTTCTTGTCTTCATAAGAACCTTAAAAATGGGACTTAATGCACAACAGTGTAGCCACTTCAATATTACCAATATCAGAGCATTATATTGTTAAATATAAGAAATCTACATCCTAATCATTTCAAACATATAAAGATAAAATACATTTTCATAGGGAACATATGCCTCTTCAGTTTCAGGACTGAGAAGTCAGAGCAGCAAAATCTGACTAATGCGAATACAATTCCTTCTGGACACAAACAACCTTATTATCACCACATTTACAATGTAACAGGACTGAACTATATTCTGAAAATCTAGGTGTTCCATAACAGGATCCCAGAGGTTCAGAGGATAAATTTCTTTAATGGAAGATCTTCTATTACAATCATAAATTTGAAAACAGAATACCACAATACAAGATGCTGCACCTACCATGGAAATCTAGCTTCCCAGGGTATCTCCAAACATTCAAAGTAACTGTGATTAGAAAAAAATATACTCTCCTCAATAATCCCTGGTATAATTCAGAAAACTCTTGAATTTTCATTTTACATGAATGTATGTTTTTGCATGTCAAAAATACCCCATGTTCTACTTTTTTGTATATTTGTGGCCCTTAATTCTAGTTGGGGTGTGAATTTTTCAGCCAAAATTCTTAGCTTAAATGAACAGTTTGCAAAACAAGACAAAATATCAGAATTTGTAAAGAAGTATTTACTGATGTTTTATCACATAATGGATTCTGTTGCATTTGTTTCATCAAACCTGATCACACATGCCAAAAATTATTATACTGCTTCTCCATTTCTACCTCACTTACCTATACCTGGTTGCCTGGGGGTTTATCAATGTAAAATAGACTGTAATAAAAATTACTCTTGCTAACACATTGACTTACAAACTCAAATCCTTTAAAATGTCTATTACCAAATAGTATAGAAACAAAAAGTATAAATAAAACAAAAAGTATAAATAAAACAAACGTAATTCACCAGCTAACCTGGCTATTTCCTCAACAGCAACAGACAATGCTAATGAATCAAGAGCAGGACCACCATACTCTTCGGACACATTTATTCCCATCAGACCAAGCTGTCCCAGTTTCTTGATCTGAAAAAAGAATATTATTTTGGTTTGCAGGTACCACAAATCAATTAATGTGCAACAAAGTTACACACATGCACAATGTGTGTACCAAAAGCAGATATACCCATACTCACATATGGGCACATGCACATGTGTGTGCAAACACACACAATTTAACAGTGCCTGCTCATTTTGTTGTTTTTCCTAGCACCTAAACTAATTCAGAACATGAAATAAAATCAAAGTTAGCAATGAAACTTAACACACAGAGCACAAACAAACAAACAAATACAGAATATTTGGTAAGCCAGTAATCAACCAGTTCATTCAGTGCTGGATAATAAACAAGTCTGGTAGCAACATTATATCGTTTGCTGGGCTGTATATTGAAATGGTAAGCTGGTGATGAACTGCAAATAAACATATAATTCCATTTTCATCCCACTACTAATCATTAATGCATCTACTAGTTACATCTCTTGAGTAATACAACATACTATCAGCATTTCTAAATAACTTGGCATGATTCAAAAGGCAAAAGTTAATTTAATAAAACAACTTCTGTCAGAGTTAGAGTTACTATATATTAGACACCAGTATAAAAAATCTAACAAACCAATAAAAATAAAGGAACATTAAAATAATCAAAAGTAACCTAAAAGTGGCAACAGAAACTGTAAAAATTTCACTCCAAATAAATTATTTCTGTAAATTGAAAAATAAATTAATATTGTCAGAAATTCATTGATTATCGGTTTACTTAATGATATATATAAGGTGTGTAAGTTTACAGCAAGGGTTCTAGATGTGCAGGCTATATGTGGCCTGCTGATTTCTTTTGTGTGGCCTGCATACAGTTTTGTGTATCTGATGTAAAAAAATAGTTACTGATTAAGTTAAACATTTAATATTACTTGAAAAATTAAAGAACAAATAAGAAAATTAAAGAAACTTACTGCATAACATTTAAACCTGTTTGCAGTGGTAAGATATAAACATTTCTAACAAACTTCTATGACTTATCAATAAACTGTCATCAATTATAATCCAGTGGCTCGTGAGCTGATAAGAGTGAGTAAATTTCTAAACAAATTTTAAAGGTACGAAATATAAAATGTATCAGTAAAAGCGCTCCATATGGCATGTTGATAAAGGGAACACCTAGTATGCCAGAATAAGAACACCATATTTGAGAACTTGTGTTTGGTCACTCTACACCTTACTTTCTATTTGTTATTATAAAATGTTAGTGTTAAAGAAGACAGTAGGATTTTAAAGCAGTAACTGCAAGAAACTTTCAAAATCAGTGGAATGTGTCTTTTACAAACAAACTCATGGAATGCCTACCTGTTCTTCTGGAAATAAATGCTCACGGTCTAACTTGGCAGCAATCGGCTTCAGTTCCCCCTCTGCAAAGTCTCTACAAGTTTTCTGCAACATCTTATGTGTTTCTGGCAGAGACACCAAGGAAAACGTTCTGTAGTGCACCTGCTGACACACACCTGAAAAGAAATCATCTTATGTAAGAAAAAAGAAAGAAAGAAGTCTGCCAAATGCCTTATTTTTTAACTCTACTGCACTTATTACCATCACTTGTCTCCTAACATAAACACATTCAACCACCTATTAAAAGCGTCAATATACCCAATCGAATGCGACGTATTATTCCCAATGCAGCCATCTCAAATTGAAATACAGAAAACAGGGTCACTCGCCAATTCTCAGTGCTCTCTGGGGCTCCAGGATGCTTAATGGGAGCTTAAAGAGTCTTGTCAACAGAAAAGGGCCAAAGATCGGCCATGTAATCAAAATAATTTACGTCATTCTCCATCTCAAGGTCTCACAGACTATCACAATACATTAAATTGTCCGCTTCGCTCCCGCCTCAAACCGTGTACAACATCCCGCTCCATTCCCCTAGCCAAAACACTATAAACATATGTACGACACGAACTGCCAACATCGACGACAAACCGTCAGGAAGAATAACAGATTGCGGTCTTCAGTTTCTGACGGGATGTTCAGTGATATAAGTGGGCTACCACGTTTCGTGGGGAAGCTCATGTAATATCATTCAGCTCCAAAAAGAAAAAACCCCAATGTTTAGACAGACAGAAGTCACTAGCCAAAAATAGTATGTTAGCAAGCCTGTAGTTAAACTGTGTAGTGAAGACGAAAACGTTTTGTATTTGCATGCAAATGCTGGTAGCTATAAAGCTGTAGGAAATATCAATGCCGCAGCACGTAGAAAGTTAATTTATTTAAGAACAATGTTAATCATACAGAAGGCACTGAACCGTAGCTTTTCAATATCAAGTACGTTATATTATAGTTAAGTGCATTTACAATTGGTAAATAGATTTTATAGGTTATAAGAGATCAAGGAACAGTATATTTAAAACTGCATTATAAATTGTGGCCTGTTAACACCGGGGCTGAAAATTTTAGTGCATGCACAGCCAAATCAAGATTCCTGACCGCGAGTAAAATATTCTGATTTTGTTACATGCACATGGATAGCTGGCTCCAAAAGACCATAGATATTACAAAGAATTCTACGAACGTATATGACCAAAGAGCGAAATTGGTCTGTTGCATACTCGTTTGTGTATAGACGAAAACATACCAAACACAAATAGATTGGTTTAAAATTAATTTGGTTGTATTGATGATAATTCTTGATTAACAAACGTGAGTCCTTGTGACGTTGATAGTCACTCAGCTGGCCAAATTCCATAATCATCAACAATTGAAATCCACCTTTTATGAGCCTTCAACTTCTCCTGTGCTGGTAATGGCATTTCCTCCCCCACCCAAGTTTCAGTGGTTGTACTTTTTGACTAATTTCTTCTGGAATTAGGAAAACATTCAGTTTTACTTTATTATTTATCTTTCTGCAAATTGTGAGTGAATGGAAAGTCCATTAGTATAACCGGTTTGCTTTTTTATTGTTTACAGGGTTTATATGCCTTGGTATTTGCCATGGTCACAAATATATGCATTCATCCTCTACAGAATTTAAAATAAATTATGACCTGCTGCCCTGTTCAAAGGATTATGGTTCATTTCAGTTTACTAATGGCATTCAACATAAAACTGAACCAGTAAAACTGTATTCCACCAGCCAGAGAATGTCTACAGTACAGCTGGCACACTGGCATCAGTTGGATTTATCAGATATACTTAACAAATATAAAGCAAGAATTGAGCTGCCTGTTGCTTCCACTGTAAATAGTTTCAAACTGCCACCTGTTAGAGACATTATTATAACACATTATGATCCAAAACATATTATTGAAGCTCCTACAAAGGGTGGGTTGGTTGAGAAACAAGCAGCAAGATTAATTGTAATAAGACGTCGCAAAATGAAGAAGCACAAGTTGAAAAAGCTAAGAAAAAAAATGAAATTCGAATGGGCAAAAGTTCGTCAACGCCGGGAGTTAAGGAAGGAAAAAGCGTTCCAAGCACAACTGATTGCTCAGATCAAAGAAGCTGAGAAATTTGATGCTGAGAAATATGTTGCAGAAAGACTGCATGAGGCTCATAAGGTTCCACTTCCAAGAACGTGGAGAGGAAAACGGCTTCCATTCTTCATTATCAAGGAAAAATTAGGAATTAAATAGCTCAGATAATCCTGTAAAGTGTTTTCAGTGTATATACAATTTTGCGTAAGATTAAATTTGTATAAGAAACTGATTTGTTACTGTCTCTGGTTTTTCCTTTCATTAATTGCATTTTCAGAAAGTTTGTGTGTATAAGATAGATGCCTTATGCATCATTGCTGAAAATTAATCAGCAGTTGTCTGACATTCATAGTTAGTTGTGTGTTGATAAAAGTATATACAGCATTTATTCTAGTGATGTTTCATTTTCACAGTTTACATGAACCTGTAAATTTCTCGTCTTTTCTGTCTGCCCATTCTACCAGCTCTTGATGAAATATTAATTCTCCAGTCTGAATTTTCTGTAAAAATGAAATTACTTTCTTTGTATAATTTCCATAACATCTAGTAATCTCAAGCAACTTGAACAAAAGTGGCAGAAGAGATTTCTTTACTAATGACATTCTCAGCACACACAGCCAATGTTTCTGAATGAAATGACTCTCATGTACAAAGCATGGAAAGAGTCTTATTAATGTCATGGCCCAGATTAAATTTGTTCTTTATAAATGTACATCTGCTATGCAGCAAATTTTGTGTGTTATAATTAAAATAAAATCATGTACACATTAAGCATGTAGTTGATGTAATAAAGTAATATTAAATAATTAAAATGTAATAGTCTGCATTATCATATAATGTTAATACTTTAAAATATGGTGAATTCCTATGCATATATCATTTAGGTATGAAGCAATAATGGTTTTTTATGGCAGTCTTAAGTTTCTGAACTCCATTACAACTTAGTTGTGTCATTTGTACTGGCAGATCCTAATGGAATATAATAGAACTTATTTAGATAAAATATTCCTGAGTTATCGCCTGTGTTATTTAATTGAAAATCATCCATTTCAGGTACTAGGTCCATTCCCTCATCAAATCCTGATAATGGGAACACAGCTGGTCCCTGAAAAGTTCATTTTTAATGAATTTACATGGCTGATAACCTGGGAAGATTTGATTAATGTTATGCAATCAATTTAAGTTGATGCATGACCTGATAGGCATTCAACATAAATAAACACTTCCATTATTTTTATTTTATGCTTTCTTGGGGGTTTATATCATATCCATACAGTAAGTAAAAAACAAGGTTATGAAATAATTTAATATCTAACTCATAACAATGACCTTGCTCTATCATGCATTTTAAATTTAACATGTGTTGCATATTTTTGCATCTGGGTTGAAGACTTGTCAGCAAAAATTGATAAAAACTGTGTTTAATCTAAGTGTAATATTAAAAAAGTTTAAACTTTCTGCTTATAAAAAGTGCGTTCATCTGTGTGTGCACAGTTTACAGTCCCTGAGTTTAATGGCTTGTGTTGTTAGCCTGTGAACCATATTCTGTCTGCCCCTTTCCTCTCAACTCCCTAAAGACCATCATGTATCCCAACTTGTCAAGTCTTAACATCTGGACCAGTTAAGCTCCACCCACTACATAATGCTAGAGTGACAGCAAGAAGTGCTCATTGTGAGACAGGATGTGGCCATCAACACACCAACTGGGCACTGCTAAGGAATTACTATTCAGCATAAACCACAATACATGGTAAGGTAAAAATAAATAAAATATAATGGGGTATATACTACAATTAAAATAACTGAATTGTACAAAATGGTTGTTTATAATAATAGCTTGAAAAAGGTATATGGTTTCTGAGGTTTCACATCATGTTCAAATCTATCTAGAAAACTGATTTTCTTTTTGTTCAGATTTAGTGAGAAGAGAAATTTCATAGTGAAAGGAATTAAATACAAGTACAGTGACATAGTATGTATACAATTCAGTACAAAACTATTTTTCATTAAAAATGTATTTCCTAAGTAAAGTTCTAATTTTAAACAAGTATAATCATTATAAGTTACTTTGGGACCAGAATCAAAGGCTTGGGAGTTAAAATTTAACATGACTCATCTCTTTACTCCAGAGGCAAAAACTGTATGTATTTTAACCAGTGTAGTACTACTTAGTACTGAAATTAAATCCAAAGACAATTTTTAATAGAAGCCACGGTGGTCTAGCGGTTAGAACGCTGGCCCTGTAATCCTGGGGTCTCGGGTTCGATTCCCGGCGGTGCCCGAATTTATAACTTGTGTTGGGCAAGGCCGTGGTCTAGGCAACACGGAGTTTTCCTCCGGGGGCTTCCCCGGTTTCTCCGTGGCATCCCAACAATTACTCCATTCACACACAGAAGAAGGCAATGGCAAACCACTTCTGGATCATCTGCCAAGAACGTATATGAACAGGTACCAGTCCGAGAAAAGGATGGAAGGATCCTGTTCATATGGACCTGTCGTCAGACAGAACACTAAATAATAAAATGAATAGCAAAGCAAGATCACAGAAACAGACTCTGCAAATTAGTCAAACAACAACGACAAATTTTGCTTTCATTAAATATGACAAATAAGCACTAAAGTCAATTTTAATTAACAAATTTATATAGCTTTAATCAACAGCCTCTAGTTTCTTGGCTCCAATGACGACTCCCAACTAAAGTAAAGAAAATATCAAATTTACAACCATCACCCCTCTCGAAAAAGAACCACATAAAGCATTATATTGATGCATAATTTTCCTCAAAGACAAAAGCCCGAACAATAAGAGTACAGAAGATAACTACTCTATAACAAACATGCCCGGAAAGTGTATTTCGTACTGAATTACAAAGCGTATCCGCGTGAGTTTTTTTTTAATTTTCTACGTCAAAATGCGCGTAGCCATCGGAAATAGATTGCCACATGTGCCCCCCCCCCCGCGGCGAATGAAATAGCATAATGAACAGTCTTTTGTTTGTTGTGTGAATAGCAACAATAATTTTGGTCAAGTCACAATTATCGAAGAAGGGTTTGTTTGCTCGTGAGAGTTGTACAAAAAAGCAAGCAGACATTATTTCAGTTATACCATTGATATGCAATCTTTGAATGTTTACTGTAATTACATTGGTCATTAAATCCTATCTTCGCAACCATTGTTGAACATTATATTGATGTTTACGGTGGTTTCCGTGGTAATAGTGAATCGTACTCGGGAGAATCATTTCATGTTCTGGTGTATTTTTGAGAATGTGTGCTTGCAGCGGAAAAAATACGACAAAGAAAATCACAGGTTTGTATCAAAAATGAAAAGTTACTAGCGGCAAAGTAAAGGCTTCTTTGGAAAAGGACATTAAGGACATGGATCCACAAGTTAGATGACAACAATATATATTACAAGTACAATTTATACTATTACAAAATTTCATACATCGTAAACGCGAATATAAGTAAGTACATTTGGCCCTTTAATGTTCAAGATAAATTAAGAAAGGAAAGGTCAGATTATATAAAAGTCGCGTAAGGGAAGTACTGTTACCGTTTCCAAAACTAATGCCCCATGCGGTGTCATTTAATGTTACTGTTCTTCAAAGAGAAAAAAGAGTGAAATAACATTATATAATATTCTTTACAATGATGATAATTTAGAATGTCATGCCGGTTAGCATTTATTACGTAAATCGCGTTAGATGGTACAGTTATACATACTCCTAAAGTAAAAACGTCTAGGGATTTGAGGATGGGTGTTTGCATATTTATTATAATAGCCCAGAATCCAGGCATAAGGAATACATTATTTGGTTTGTTGTGTGAATAGTACATCTCGTTTTTGTCAAGTCTCAATTAGCAAAGAAGAGTTTGTTTGTTCATGACAGATGAGAAGAATTGTTTGTATATTCTTTAAATTGGAACTTTAACACATAACACAATACTGAAGACCCCTTAACTCTTCACTCTAAAATCTTAAGATGTACCCTTGCCAGTTGGTAATAGATGGTGCAGTTTGAATTTATATAAAAACCCGTTGTTCCAGTTAACACACAAGTCTATCTCCACATGTGGTAGAATTATTTTTCATTGTTTCATGGAGGTCAGGCTCCAATGCCAAGATCTGCAATGTTCTCTCTCACAATATTCATGCCGTACAATTTCAGCATAACTCATTTTAATTACAGCTAGTGCAAAATTATCCATAAACTAAACACGTGCAATAATATAGACCAATAGTTCAAGTTCAGACTTAAACAATTAAGTAATGTGATTAGTTATTCTTGTATGTTATGCTGCCGAATCTTATTGTATGTACTTTGGACCAGATGAATACAATGAATGCTCCATCTACCACTTTCATTCAAGGCTAAATCAGTCATCAAGACTATATATAATATGTGGGTCACAGTCACTTAATGTGACATGTGAGATACACAACACAACAGTCAATTCTCTCCCTTCTACCAACAAAAAAATGTCTGACTACTCATATTTCAGGGACACATTTTAAGTAACAAAGTCTTGGGTAATCAGCCATGTGAGAATGGAGGGGTAGCATCCAGCATTTCGGACACTGTCCCTGCGTCCATCATCAGGGACTTACGAACACAGCTGCCCTTTCTATATACATATACACAACAGATCATGGAGCCCAGTGTCCTTGTCAGTGAGCAAACCAATAGGCAACAATGACTTCAGTAAGATGATTTTTTGTCAGAGTCCATATGCAGCCTAGTGTAACCTAGATGATCTATTCACTAACTGTTCCCTATTGGTCCATTCTAAGACAAGAACTCTAGGCTCTACAAGCTGTTATGTATAAATACAGCAAGCAGTCACATCACTTATCACTATGTAGTCTAAGCACCTGATGATGGAGGCAAAGGCAGTCTGGACACTAACTCCATTATCACATGCCTCACCCAAAAAGACTTCACTCAATTCAGTCACCATGAAAGCTTCAATAAAGTAAGTTTACATAGATTTTAATTCGCAAATATGATTTGACAAGGATTTAACCTCACAAAACAGATACTGCATGAGCATATAGAAAAAATAAATACTAGAGAAATGCTGTACAGAATATTGGAGTTTGAAGCATGACCGAAAATATAATTAAATATTTATGTAGAAAAGTTAATTCTGATAGTTTGGAACTGTTATGCAGCATGACTATTGATATATCTCAATATGTCTTTACTGATATTTCAGTGAATGTTACTACAGGTTTTTTGATCAGTTTTTTGAATGACAAGTCTAAAGAGAGTTCATCCCACACGTGTGTTGTGGTTTCTTCGCATGTCTATTCTTATTCACAATTTTTAAATTATTTTAAAAAATTGAAATATTCTGAATGACAAAGTTAAATAAGATAGAATGTAAAAGTTGAATAACATCTTGTATCAGGTACCAGTGTGTAAGACACTACAAACTACTCTGGCAACCGAACAGAAAATTTCAAATTATAAGAAAGAAGTGTCTGTGTGAATTTAGAATCAACAACTCACATATAACGATGAGATGTTGAGGTACTTTACACAGATGGTCACAAACTGGGTGAAAAAAGTTCTAAAACGATACATTAAACAAGACAACATTGACTGATTTTTAGGTTATTTATCAATGCTGTAGAGATCACAGAACATAAAATACGAAGGAGAAAGTCATGAATGATGGATCTGGAAAGGGATGGTTATGGATTATCTTAAGCTTCAGTATGGTCCACTATATGATAATATGAAAGATGGCAGGACCTCTGCATGTTTACATGCATAGGATATTCATTTTGCTACAAGTCTGAGAGAGGCATGTTCACTGTTGGGTTAAGTGGCTAGAGAAGTTCCATGAATGTGTCTGAGAAGGTTTTTACTATGCAAAATGTTTGATATTTGTACTGAAAAAGGATGCATCCAGGCTAACCGCCGATACACCTCATTTCCAAAGAAACCAAAATTCCCTATTCTTTTAAATCTCCAAATCTTACTCCAGTCATATACCCATGCCTTCTTAAAAGAATATTTTTGGAATTAAGTATACATAAAATCAGCACGAACTACCGAGAGGCAAATACTGTGTACTGCAGTGTACCACAAGGTACTACTAGAAGGATGTTTGAAAACCTTGACCAATGTCACAAAGTGTGTCTTTAAAATAATGCCTCTTACCTTGAGCATGCCTAGTGTCATACTACTGAGAAAAATAATTTATTAAAGAAAGGTAATCAGGGTTACTTTATATTTCATACTACCTTTTACTGGGCCATACTGAACTACCTTACCATTAACTAAAGAGACTATGGGAGACAATAATGACAGAATGGTAAATTTCAGACACCAAAAATTGTTTCTCTATCTGTAGTCAGTTCATATGACTGTTCTAACCTGTAATCACGAATTACATATGCATGTGCCCATATGATGCTAATATTTTCTATATAATTTGAAATCTTTAGTAACACGCTAAACTAACTGCCCTTCGGGGTGTTGGTTTAGTGTCTCATTCAAGTGTTTTAACCCTTGAGTAAGAACTAAACAACCCCCCCAAATGGTGGTTAAAATATTTGACGAACCTCCCTCCGGGGTGGTTGGTTGCGTTTTAAATTCTTGAGTAAGACACTAAACTAACCCCCCTTCGGAAGGGTTAGTTTATGTCTCATTCAAGTGTTTTAACCCTTAAGTAAGAAACTAAACTAACCCTCACCCCCGAATGGGGGGTTAAAACACTTAACTAAGTGAAATTGAAATTGCTTTTTGCAGTTAACAACACAGCATGATAACATATTATCCTGAGAAGGAAAGAGCGGTGAAATGCTGTCAACTGGCAATATCAAAAGACACAGGGAGACTCAAGTAAGTAGATGAGCAAATAAATAAGCACACAAACTACTATTAATAGTTGTTTGTGTGCTTATTTATATTCTAATACACTATATGGTATGCAAAGTTTTAAGATGAGCAAAGAAAGAGAAAATACAAGTACATATATATGTCTTCTTTAGTAAAGATTTGTTCTGCATAAAAACATAGTGTTTGGTGTTAATTATTCATTATTTCCTACATAATTTATGATCATGAGACATGCCTATGTTATTTATCATGTAATTTTCTAACTACTGACATGGTGAAGAGTCCTTTTTGAGGATCAAATAATCACTCAAGATAGTCAAGAAATTTCTCCCTTGTATGGAATCTGAAGGTTCATTATCATGATCAAATAAGTGTGCTAATGGGCCCTGCCCTATGCCTGATGAATCTAGACCAAATTTTCACACCTTCCTTCTTTAAGATACACTTCATTGTTATCCTCCTATCATTCCTAGGTCTTCCAAGTAGTCTTTTCCTTTCAGGTTTCACAACTAAAATTTTGTACACATATCTTATGCCCTCATTTGTATATTATTCACTCAAGAATGATGATACTTTGAAACTTGCAATATTTCATACAAAATCCATTGCACAAGAAAGGGATAAACTAATTTAAAGTGCCAGCATAGTTCAGGGGATAACATGGATATCAACAGGGTCATGTGTAGAACCAGTGATTAAACAAGTTGTTATTAAAAAAAAAAAAAAAGATACTGAGGAGATGGAATTCATGAAGATGTACTTTCTATATGCAGTCACCAAAATTAACTCTGTTCATTCAGTCTTAAACAAATAAAAGTTTCTTATTATATACAGATTGTCCTAGGGAATTTGGGCCAAACTTAAGAATGTTAACTGGGTAATTTTAAGTTGAAAATGTTCTATGAACATATCTGATTCTGGATAAGAATCAACTTCCCTGTGAGCAAGCCAGGGCATGCCATATAGATGGCTTCCATCAGCTGCCTCATTATTGTGCACTAGCAGTCTATAATCACTGCTGCCCTGTCATCCAGGAGCTCAATGCCCTGTGCATCCCACAGTGCTGCCAATAACACCATCCCTGCAGATTACATTGGCTGGCACAGAATTCCTTGGTTGCATCATCACCAATGATGAAATGCAGAGTTGTCACTTAACACCAACAGTGGAATGGGAACACACACAATACTGCCACCATCACCACTACTCCAGCCCCTACCTCTGTACAAAGAAAAGTGCAAGACTGTGCAGTCTGTCAGGAAGGTTCTATTAATGGCATTTTAGGATGTGCAGGGCACTTGTTTCCTTTATTTCCTAAACCAAAGGACAAACTGATCACTACTAAACAGCACAGAGGCATCTATTGGAATCAAATCCTGAGGAAATGGATGGACTTGATGACAGTGAAAGTGATCCCACTCCACAACTACATTCACATTCACCTGTAAAACTGGTGCCACAACAGAACACAAGCACCAGTTTTGCTGGAAATGCCTTCTTGGTCCATTATACACCCTGGACATCATGCCTAACAAATTCCACCTCATCCAAGCACTGAATTATTTCAAGAAGAAACACTTCAAAGTGATAATCGGGTGAAAGCTAATGGGAGCCTGTGGTTGCTAACATTAAGCCTTGATTTCTTCTCTGTGAAAATCATATAGGTGGTATATCAACAAAATAAACACCTAAATCACTCTAATAATAATGTGGAGAAACAGAGGTTTTATCAATTTCCACTTGTCCTTTTTGTACTCCTATGAAGAAGTAATAAATAAGAGTGTAATACAGCCATGGAAGTTACTTGTTGAACAGCTGTTGTATGTCACTAAAACAAATATGCTGCCACATAATACATTCCATTAGAACAATGTAGCAATGTATGTAAACAGACTTCATTCATAACCCATTACAAGACTATGCACTCAACAAAATATGATAAATCAAAAGTTATAAAGTATAAAAATGCAAGGCCTCTAATCACATATTGTACTGGCATTTCACTATATATTGTGTAAGTGTGTGTGTTATATTTACTTACAGATGGTATCTAGGGGTTGGAAGGAAGGAATCAAAGTGGCAGCAGAAAAGAAAGATCATATTGATGCTAACCATAACAATTGTGGTGTTACTTTTAGTGGGACTTGTTTTTGGAGCAGTCTCACATTTTTATGCCAGGGATGGAAGTTTCATGCACAATCACTCCTATGAACATCATGGACCCAACATATATGGTAATAACTCTGGCTTGGCAAAATAAACCGTGATTATTATTTCAAGCATACATTCAGTTGAGTTATGTACATGATTGTGTCAAGAAGTCACAAATTAAGCTGGTATATGTTGCATCTGTGTATACTCAATAAGTCTGCTTTGGTATTTTATGACTACTATCATGAAAACAACTTGTAAAAAGATATTCATCTCAAGAACTTTTGTGCATATGTGACGTTTTCATTATATTTAAGCCCAATGAAAAATACATAAACCTAAAATGTCACCAAATTTTGATCAACTGAAAAACTATACTCAATAAAATCTTCTTGGGCGATCAGCCACTTCAAAAAGCTAAACTCTTTTTATGGAACTTGATATATGAAAGTTATGCAAGTATTAATATGTATGTTACTCATTTCAAATAATTTTGAGGCCCTACACATTTTGAACATAACTTAACTAGATTTCCACTAGAGAGAAAAAATATCTTGAATAAAAGTGAAAGGATCCATAACATTCAAATGTTATACCTTATATATTTTAAAGAATATCACTAGTACAGTAACAGCATAAACATGTGCCATCAAAAGCAAAATCCAATCTTCTAATAATGCCCTGATATCTAGTTGACAATTCACAATACATTGAAAATACCTAGACAGCAATATAAATATAAATAAAATGCACTTTAAAGTTACCATTGGGGGTACAATTGCCTATTCTTCTTGCTCTAGATGAGATGGTTTCATACTTCTTAAAACTTTGAGTAGCTGCTCTGTTTTATTCAACCATTAATTAAAAAAACATTTTATGTCACAGTAAAAAAGTTTTCACATGATTCTGAAGGAATAAAACTAGAGGACAGAGACCTGATGCAAGATATACAAACAAAGTTTGCTCCACCAGCAGCAATCTACTACACAATTAGACAAAAAAGAAGTATATCAGATGAAGATGACACACAAGCATTGCAGACATACCAGGTAAAGTCCAGTATGACAGAGAATATTATGTGAATTAATTCAGAGAGCTGCTACAATAGTTGCAACTTGAAACTTTAAAAATCAGTATTCAAACAGAAATGCATTTATCAGTCTGAAAAATGTTTTAACACATTAAATATGTTAACTACTATTTCTTAAACTTCATCTTTTTGTGCAGAGAAAAACTTTTGGCATAAAACAAAAGATTTTGCACTTTTTACATGGTACACTAACTAAGAAATAATGGAAGGTGACTGTACTATTCTGAATAGAGAATGCATGTCAGGTATCGATTCCACTTTAAGCAAATTACATTGTTCTCCTGAATACTGACTCCCAGGCTAGAACTATGAATAAAAATAACAGCATTTTATTAAGTAGAATTTTAAGTTCTGATGACAGTGAACATGAAGATGGTTTGTAACATCATGTAGTCAGGTATAAGTTCACCTATGCTTCAGAGATATTTACCACCTCCATCATCAAGTCTGCAAGTGCCTCTGAAACAATGTTGAACTCCTACTAGACTACATGCTGTTACAGCCCAGAAGACAACCATCTTCAACATTTTATTAATCACATATATTTGGAAGTAGGGATAAATACACAAGCTGTCTTGTGAATTCTACTAAAACTACATCAAAAAGTCTTTCATTCTTTGATACAATATACAACTGGACTGTGCTAAATTTATATTCCCTCATTTTAACACAGGGTAATGTATCAAGTGACTTAATAATATGGGATGTGCAAGAAAAAAGTTCCAACATAGATGCTTTGAATGGTGGTGGCCATATTATCAATTCAGCTGCTGCTAATCAGCCAAGTCAATCCATAGCAAAAGTCCACAACAATATAAATTTTGCTCAAACTCACATTCCAAGCAATGAGGAACAAAAGTCACCTGCACATAATGAATATAATGAGAAGCAATTTGGAAAGACAAGACAAAATATACTGTCTGCAACACACCAGCTTCCAGAGGTAAGGTATAATATAAAGAACAAATGATTTACTGAAGATTTCTGTCTTCTGGGTTGTTGCACTGTGTAGTCAGGTAGATGTTTACCAACGTTTCAGAGGTCATACTGTCTGTGATGAATCGCCCCGATGAGAGAGGCAGTATGACCTCTGAAATGTTGGTAAACATCTACCCTACAAGATGGCGCAACAACCCAGAAGACAGAAATCTTGATACTCACTGCTGTGAAAACCTCAAATCATACGTAAATGATTTACTGTGTCTGCCTTAAATATGGAATGCCTGAAAGATGAAGTTAAAAAGTGAACTTCAATGTTTTATTTATTTGTGGTCTTATGTAATGATGCTGTCAGTAGCTGAGAGTATATAGTGTCAAATGACAAATAATGAATTAGAAAGGATATGAAAGGAAGCATTCACAGCTTACTGTGAGGTTCTGTCCCACAATATTTATGAAGGGACTGGGCAAAACCAATAAAATTTTCAGTTATTATATACAGTCTGTGTCAAGATTTGAACCAGGACCTTCTGAATACAAAGGAGGAGTGCTAAACACTCAGCCACAATGTAGATTTGTTTCTGATTCTTCTTAATTTATCGGTATTTATATTACTAAAATAACATCCAAACAAATACATGCATGCATCTTGTGGCACATCCAATCATGGAGGGATATTTCAGGTTCTCACAACAGTGATTATGAAGATGGTTGTCTTCTTGGTTCTTGTGCCATATAATCTGATATGAGTTTACTGACATTTCAGAGATACTTGTGCTCTGATAATGGAGGTTGCAAGCACTTCTGAATGTTGATAAACTTTTACCAGACAAGAAACTTTATGTGCTCAAATAGTCTTACAATCCTGGCAGACTATCCACTGTTTGTGACTGTAATCTTGAGACTTGCGGGGTGAGGAAGTGGAGTGAAGGAGAAAGGAGAATAGATAGCGTCTACTATGGAGTAACCTTTAACGCTTTGGACTTCCTGCATTCCTTGCAAGTCTCAAGATTACAGATGCAAACAGTACCTACAACATTTGATTTTGCAAGCCACTATTACAAGTCATTATTACAGTGTCAATCAAAAACCAATTCCCCATATGCTTTGAAATAACAATATAACCAAACAATATTTACAAATTGTCAGGTAGATTATAATTTAAATGACATAAATAAATATTGCTGATACCAGTACAATGCTTTTAGAGTTAAACTGAAGGAATTAAAGTATGAAACCAAAACATAACCAAAATGACCCATCCTTGTCAATGAGAAATCTGCTCAAGCCAATGGCTGGACAAATCATAATCACTCCCTGTATGGTTCGCAAACTACTACTTGCCAGACCAAGGGGTAGGAGGGAAAGAAGTAGGTCAGTCAGGTGAGCAAGCATAGATCACCTGTGTCATAAAGCATGCCTCAATCTATAGGATAATTAATGAATGGATGAATATACGAGTTCTTTCACATTCAAAACTTAATCAAACTGGAATTAATCTAGAATCACAGGAATTCAGGTTGTAAGCTGTGTTGATTTCGCATGCCATAACCTGTACTCAAACTTCAGATACCAATATTTGAGTTAGTAAAAAGTATAATGGGACCCTTCCTGTTATATGTCATCCAGTTTATGTTATGATTTGAAATGAAAATACACAATATGCATTACTCTTATGCTGAGCACTGCTATGACCAAACACTGCTACAAATAGATGACAAATAATAGGAATGGTCAATACAACTCAGTATCATACTCAGTTAGCATCTTATGTGCTGTGAAATCTACGTGCTTCCTAACAAAAATATGTATTTACAGGAAAACAGCATGGGGTCCCAGGAGATTATGCTAAATGAGGCAGAAAATTATAACAAAGTAGCAGCCAATTACCCTGATGAAGCAACTGATGCAGATTATGAAATGGATGATACTCATCACAGGTAAACTAAATTAATGAAGATAGTAATACAAATTCTTCTCCAAATGTCTTTTGTAATAGAAGGACTTTATCCATCATCTGCTGAATGTTTTCTAAAGATGTTTACAAAATCACAACTTTTTGAAGGATGGGTCTTCCTCTGAAATGTTTTTCAGGCTTTCTAAAAAACATTCAAAAGACGATGGATAAAGTGTAAAAGTGTACAGTAGTAGAGTAATATAAGGTCTACTTAAGTGAAGATTTTCCTCACTGTTTTAAAATTTTGGTTAAATCTGTTTAAAAACTTTTACAAGGAACACTGATCACTCAAAAACAAAGTTTTGTAAGAAGAATTCTGTAATTTTTTATTTCAGACAGCACATTTTACGGTGGTACACAACCTCCTCAAAGAAAAGTGCTGGGATGTATGTTTCTCTTACATATTTTTATTTAGTTTAGTGTGGATTATCCAGTTCCCAATTAAAAATAAACATATACAGAATATAATTTTCAAGTATAGGTAGGATCAAATGAACCATAAAAAATGTTAAGTATTTATTTCACAAACACAACTGGCACTGTTCTGATCCTTCATGAATGCATTCCACTTCTAAATGGTTGTGGAATATTGTATGCCAATCCAGACACATTTTGTGATAAAGGATTTTAAAAACCCCAACCATCTTAAATATAGCCCTCAAAGTGAGAAATCTTTTGGTTTCATCACACCTGTGGCTTGAACAATAAACAATGCAGTAATGAAATATTGATTGTTACACCTTCTGATTACCTTACAGCCATGAGGACAAAGACAAAGGTGTTGTCTACATTGATCCTGTTTTGAAAGAAGACCACATCTTTCCACGGAAGTCAGCTAGGGAGGATATTGATGAAAACTATAACCAACCACAAGAAGAAGTAGAAGAAGAAGAAGAAGAAGAAGAAGAGGAGGAGGAAAGATACAGTTTGGAACAAGAAGCTTGGCTTGCCCTCCAGGATTATGTTGCAGGAGAAAACCTAGATTTACACACTTTTTGGAAGGGAGAAGGAGACTTCCATACAATCAGACATGCTCAAGGTAAGAAATTGTAACAGAATAAAGTCTTAATTTCTCTCTCTTCTTTGTGTGTGTTTTCACATGTAGCAAATTATAGTCAGCCTCCATTTGCCACAAATCCTTTCATGCATGTTGTCATTTTTACGGTCAATTACTGGAAACTTCAATCACAGTAAAGGATCAGATTGTTATGAATTTACACAAGTCTCAAAATTAAATTGTTTAGTACCTAGCTAGCTTAGAGTCAGTGTAATGTTGGACTTTTATGGTGATAAGTGTTACAAAAGAATACTGCTAGTATAAGTTATAAGCCAAAAGCAAATTTAATATTACACTTCCTTTACAGTAAAACAAATAATTGCCATTTAAATACACAAGGATGCCAGAAATATTTAGAATTGTAGGCACAAATTCAAGGGTGCTATATGTAGGTAGACCAAAGGTTCGGGGGGAAGAAATATGTGGTGTGACTGCACCTTTTACAGCTTTACAAAAAGGAGGGAGACGAAATACAAAAAAGTGACTGAATCCCATCACACATATTTTTGAAAGATTTAAACAAGAATTTATATTGATTAAATGGCTTTCATTTAGGAGTTCTTCATAACAGTAATTAAATCCAGAAAATTTGTATTACATGTGGATTGTGGTCTTCAGTGTTGTGAAGTCACACAGTCTTACAGGCGGTTGTACTTCATATATTATTTTAATATGAACACCTCTACAGGTATAATATTCATGATATAAGATTTTTATTAGCATGTATGACCTGCGCCATAGTCGCGCAGTCTGAGGCATCATGCTTCGGACCGGTGATACGGAATGCGCGCTGGTTCGAGTCTCGGGGAAAGAAATTTCTCATGAGTTTTTCGACCGGTGTATGGGACCAGTGCCAACCCAGCATCATGAGGAAATCGGGGAGCTATAATGGGTAGCGTAATCCGGTTATGAAAACTAGCAATGGCTGGGGGATTCGCTGTGCTGACCACACGTCACCCTATATCTGGTTGGATGATCATTCACCTCTGCTTAGGCATGTGAACGTGAGGCCAGCAGCAAGAAGCTTGGCTTGCCCTCCAGGATTATGTTGCAGGAGAAAACCTAGATTTACACACTTTTTGGAAGGGAGAAGGAGACTTCCATACAATCAGACATGCTCAAGGTAAGAAATTGTAACAGAATAAAGTCTTAATTTCTCTCTCTTCTTTGTGTGTGTTTTCACATGTAGCAAATTATAGTCAGCCTCCATTTGCCACAAATCCTTTCATGCATGTTGTCATTTTTACGGTCAATTACTGGAAACTTCAATCACAGTAAAGGATCAGATTGTTATGAATTTACACAAGTCTCAAAATTAAATTGTTTAGTACCTAGCTAGCTTAGAGTCAGTGTAATGTTGGACTTTTATGGTGATAAGTGTTACAAAAGAATACTGCTAGTATAAGTTATAAGCCAAAAGCAAATTTAATATTACACTTCCTTTACAGTAAAACAAATAATTGCCATTTAAATACACAAGGATGCCAGAAATATTTAGAATTGTAGGCACAAATTCAAGGGTGCTATATGTAGGTAGACCAAAGGTTCGGGGGGAAGAAATATGTGGTGTGACTGCACCTTTTACAGCTTTACAAAAAGGAGGGAGACGAAATACAAAAAAGTGACTGAATCCCATCACACATATTTTTGAAAGATTTAAACAAGAATTTATATTGATTAAATGGCTTTCATTTAGGAGTTCTTCATAACAGTAATTAAATCCAGAAAATTTGTATTTCATGTGGATTGTGGTCTTCAGTGTTGTGAAGTCACACAGTCTTACAGGCGGTTGTACTTCATATATTATTTTAATATGAACACCTCTACAGGTATAATATTCATGATATAAGATTTTTATTAGCATGTATGACCTGCGCCATAGTCGCGCAGTCTGAGGCATCATGCTTCGGACCGGTGATACGGAATGCGCGCTGGTTCGAGTCTCGGGGAAAGAAATTTCTCATGAGTTTTTCGACCGGTGTATGGGACCAGTGCCAACCCAGCATCATGAGGAAATCGGGGAGCTATAATGGGTAGCGTAATCCGGTTATGAAAACTAGCAATGGCTGGGGGATTCGCTGTGCTGACCACACGTCACCCTATATCTGGTTGGATGATCATTCACCTCTGCTTAGGCATGTGAACGTGAGGCCAGCAGTCAGTTAGTCGGCTTTGGCTCACATAGGGCTGTTACGGCACGGATTATTATTATTATTATTAGCATGTATAATACACAAAATATATAGTTGGGACTCTGACAACAGATTCCTCTTAAACTTTTACAAATGCACATATAATTGAGTGCAAAATCTTTTACTCTATGTTACAGAAAGATGATTATGCTGATTATATTTGACAGTAACATATCTCTCTATGTTCAATATCTGTTGTTACAGTTCTTAAATAATCATTGTCTGTGTGTTTATGACTTACAGCAAAGATAATGTCAAGCTATATGGATGTCAATGCAGACCCATGCCAGGATTTCTACCAGTATGCATGTGGTAACTGGGGGAAGAAACATCCAATTCCAAAGGACAAAACAACATATGATACATTTGAAATCCTGCGTGAGAACTTGGATGCTGTTCTGAAAGAGTTGCTGGAGGAGAAACCAAACACTGAATACCATAATGAGGCCACTGAAGTTTTGCAAAATGATGCTGCCACTAAGGCAAAGCATTTCTTCCAGTCTTGCATGAATTATGGTGAGGCTCTACAGTAATTTTAATGCTAAAATTCAAATCAGTCTGAATTTCTAAGCAAATAGACATACACATTGAAGGTAAAGCAGATTCAGAATGAGACACATTTTAAATTCAATTACTCTGAAACAGCAGTGGATATAAATTGATATTCACTACATAAACCAAGTACAGTTGCCTACCAACTAAACCAAAGACACAGAAAGTGATAGCACTGGGCAAAGCATTTTGTACAAAATCTATTAGAATATAAGCTGACTGATATAATCAATTGTGAAGTAATTTCATTTCCACATTTGAAACTTACGTAGAACAAAATCATTTTCCTGATACTTATCTATTGTTAATTTACTTTTAAATACTTTCCTGTTGGTTTATTACAGCTCATAAAATTTTAAATCTATCTGTTATACTTTTTAATTCAATAAATTAATATTACGCTTTCTACCTAAATGAGCTACAATCATCAATTCATTTTATATTATTTTTTTATTTGGTTGTATAGGAGAAGTCCTAACCTGTTTTTCATGGTTTCTTCCTCAGACCAAAGTTTCTGACTAATGTTTAAATTCTGACATTTTGCCATCACAAACTGTTATATTATAACTTTGACACAGGGTCTGATACCCTACCTTACAGCTGCAATTACTTTTCTGCCATGTCTATGGTGACATTCATATAACAGTCCAGTTCCTTGCTTTTTGAACTGTGCTGTATAATATCTAAAACTTAGTTTGGAAAATGTTGTGTACTTTGAACAAGTGTTAAAAATAAGTGCTGAAATGTGATAATAATAATAATAATAATAATAGTCTGTGGCATAACAGCCCTCTGAGAGCCAAAGCCGACTAGCTGGTTGCTGGCCTCACGTTCACATGCCTAAGCAGAGGTGAACGATCATCCAACCTGATATAGGATGATGTGTAGTCAGCATGATGACCCCCCAGCCATTCTAGTTTTCATGACCGGATTACGCTACCCATTGTAGCTCCCCAATTTCCTCATGATGCTAGGTTGGCACCGGTTGAAAATATCATGAGAAATTTCTTTCCCTGAGACTCGAACCAGCGCGCATTCCGTATCACCGGTCCGAAGCATTATGCCTCAGACTGCGCGGGACGCTGAAATGTAATACCAGACCAAACTGTGTTTTTTACTAGAGATCCTGAAGCAAAGAGCAGAGCAGCCACTATTAAAACTGCTTGACCAACTTGGTGGCTGGCCAATGCTACAGCCTGACTGGGACAGCTCACAGTTTGATTGGTTACTACTCATGGCCAAGCTGAGGCTCTATAATAATGACATCCTCATCTCACAGTGGGTTGGGCCAGATATCAAGAATTCCAATGAGTATGTAATACAGGTACGTTCAGAATGCGTGCTGCCATGATCAATATAAACTTTTGTCCTCCTTTGTGTGCCACATTACACGTGCCTGCAACCAACCAAGTCCATTAAGCAGAGTTTTTTTTAGAAGCTACTAGTATACTCACCTAATAATGGAATTTCCTGTCTTTTGTGAAACCTGAAGGTTTGTTACTGTGTTCATCAGAGCCTGCCACTGGTCCTTATCCTCAGTTATGCAAATCTCAATCCACATCCTCCAATCCTATTTAATGAAGTTTCATTTTAATATTGTCATCTCATCTACAACTTGTTATTTCCCCAACAAAAAATTGTTTGCATTCTTAGATGACCACAGACTTAAATTTACCTAAAAAATTCTGAAGCGTTCAAGATGTGCACAGCTGTTTTGTCTTTTGTTGTACCTATGAGTGAGTCATCATCTTAACAAAGGTGAATAAGTTAGTGAATGGCTACAGACTAGGTGGCCAGGGCTTGATTCCTGGAAGGAGCAATGATATTTTTCTTCCACGATCGGCTCTGGGGTCCACCCACTCTCCTATTTAGAAAATATTGAGGATTCTCTACCTGGGTTAAAGCAGCCAGAATGTAAAGCTGACCACTTACATCCACTCCTCCCATTCACTTGTATGGATAATGTTTAGCCATAGAGGTAGCTTCACATATTTTATGTCCACTTTTCTTTAACAGCTCTGTGTGAGTGTATACTATACACGTACGTCCAAGACTGAAAGCAAGATACAGTAAATAATGAGACCCAGATTTTTAAAAATATACATTATACCATTAACAAAGATCTGGTATGTTTCATCATAATGAAATTTGTCAGTTGAAGCCTCAAAGGAAAACAAAGGGAAAAGCACTTCTAAATAAATGACATGTTTAAATCAGAGAAGTGAAAACACATTGCCATCAGCATGTGATGAACTGAGCCATGTTATTAAGCTATGAAACATGCTGTAACTGCAGCTTGTATTCACTCTCCTTGCCAAAGGAACTGCTGTTATATTAAAATTTAAATAATTAAAGATATTTTATTCATGTTTCAGTTTGATCAGACTAGCCTAGGGTTGCCTACAAGGGACTACTTTGTACAACCATCCAATATGATGTACCTGGAAGCTTATAAGAGTTACCTTATTAAGATTTCAACATTACTAGGCGCTCCTCTGGACAATGCCATCGAAGAAGCTGAGGCTCTCATTAACTTTGAGACCAGGCTTGCTGAGGTAAGACATTAAAAATATATTTCTTAAATGTCTGAAATCTCCGGGAAGTTTACCACTGAACCAAATAAATCTGTTGGGCAGCTAAGACATGCTAACCTTTGTTAACAGTTCTGATGTAGACTTTCCAACGTTACAGATCACATCAGGTCCAGATGAGCGTCGGAATGTGAGTGAGTTGTATCAGAGGATTAGCATTGGACAGTTGATGCAGCTTGTCCCAGAGGTTGACTGGGCTCGGTACCTTAGTTTGGTCTTGGCTCGCCCCATCAACATTTCAGAGCCAGTTGTTGTGTTTGCATTGAATTACATTCAGAACCTTGTTACTCTTCTTCATAAAACACCATCGAGGTAAGTAAAAGAGGTCTGTTTGTCAATGGCTGGACAAAATTAGTGTATTTGTAATTATTGGAAGTACATGAATTTTGAAAAGAGGAAAAAACTTGGAAGAAAAACTTACATCAAGACTGCATGTCAGGTGTAAATGGAGAAACAGGCTTACACGAACAGTGACAAATTACAAATTGTTTCATTCAAGACAGAGAACTTTGTTGAAAAACTGGTGATCCCTTCAATGGGCCTTGCTCACATACAAGCTCCTCCTTTCAAAGTCAACTTACCTGTAACTGTCTTACCATTTCCATTCTGATACTCAGAATTAGCAAAAACCCAGTCACAATGAAAACAAGAATAGAGACATACTTTCCAATCTTACTGTGTGCATAGGTATGTCGCACACTGAAATCAATTTGTACGATTTGTATTATACATCTAAAAAATATATTACTGTACAGAAATACACAAATAAGACAAAAACCTAACTCAGTAATATCTCTTTGCTTGTCCTAACCATTTTTAAATATGATGAATATGTGCTATACAAAAATACATTTATGTATTCAGAAAAGTGTCAGTCCTAGCTGACCACACAAATTACTTTTTTTTTTATGGGCCAGGATACCAAGATATAAGAGATACAAATGTGGTCACTACTTTCATATGAACAGAAATAATAACTAACAGATAAATGACAACTGTGTGTACAGATGGACCTGATACACACGCTACAATCAGACAATAATCTTTGCTTTACGTGTGTATGTGTGTATATGTGTCCATGCATATGTGCACATGTGCATATACTCACAGAATACCTAATATATCACAATTATTAAATGAATTGCATGAGTTTCTATTCTTACAACACATATTTAACAGAGATGTTTATGAAGTGTCATGTAGCTAATGCTGCGGATTCAGTACTTTCTTCCATTTGATATGAATCTCTTTGTAGAGTATTTGAATTTTAGATATAAAGGACATTTTATTTCAGGACAGTAGCAAACTATTTGCTATGGAGGTTTGTCAGGCATCGAGTAAATAACTTGGACGACCGTTTCCAAGAAGCAAAGCAGCAGTTTTATCACATCTTATTTGGAAGGGAAAAGGCACCATCACGGTGGAAGAACTGCGTTGCTGAAGTGAACCACCATTTGGGCATGGCTGTTGGTGCCATGTTTGTACGCAAGTACTTTGATGAGAACAGCAAGAGGGATGTGAGTATTTTTGTAGTATCTGATATTTATTTTTAAAACTAGAAACTGATCTTAAACAATCTTAACTCTCTGTTGTCTGCAGACATGTTTTCCATAAGCAACCCAAGTTTCACAGAAGTGTGATTGCGCTGTAGAATTCTACCTTTCTTTGCTGCTTTATTTTTATAATTTCTATATCTACAGACATAAATACTATGACCTCATATTCCATATTGTGGCACTGAACATAGGATACATGACATAAAGAAATTGAATCTAACTTGAGCAGACTTGATTCTTAATTCCATACTTTTTACATATTTAGTTGATCTATCAAGAATATTCAGATGCTGGTTTTTCTTTCAGACTGTTCAGATGACAGAAGAGATCATGCAGAATTTTCAGGAATTACTCAGTCAAACAAGTTGGATTGACACAGAAACAAAAGAGCTGGCTGCTGAAAAAGTGGATGCAATGGCACTGCGGATTGGATATCCTGATTACATTCTTAACCCACAACTCTTAAATGCACAATATGAAGACGTAAGTAACTATATGTAGAGATTTTAAAGATATATAATACATAAAGACTGAACTCTCAGATGTGTATATGCATATATGCAGCAGAACTTATTTTCTATTAGTTTTAAATGACTGAAGCAAATGAATGCTTTTTCTTCAAGCAAAAAATATATATATTTTTAACAATATTTTTCAGTTGCTGATCCATCCAGATCAGTATTTTGAAAATGTGGTCAACATCCTTCAGCATCTGACAAGGGAGGAACAGAGTCATTTAGGCACTCCTGTCAATAAGTCCATTTGGAATACAGCACCTGCAGTTGTCAATGCTTATTACAGTCGTAATAAGAATCAGATCAGTGAGTATACATCATTCCAATTACTAAATAATTTTGAAACTTATAAAACAAATCTGTTTTGTTCTTAAACTATCATTCTTAGCATTTACTTAAACTGAGTAAGAAATCCCTTATCACGAATAATCTATTTCATGGCCATAACAAGGACTGTATATATGAAGGTCAATTTGTATGTTCAGTGTTTCCAGCTGGGATCTTACAGCCTCCATTTTATCATCACTATTTCCCACGCAGCCTTAATTATGGAGGTATTGGTGTTGTGATTGGGCATGAAATTACACATGGATTTGATGACAAAGGCCGCTTGTTTGATAAAGATGGGAATCTACATCGATGGTGGAATGATGAAGCTATAGAAGAATTTAACCATCATGCACAGTGCTTAATTGGTAAGTTAAGTAGACTGTATTCCTTCATTCAGTATTTTGAAAATGTAAGCAACAATATACATTACATACCCACTATGAAATGCAGTGATATCAATGTAGAATATAAATGACTTGTCAAATATCTGAGTATTTTACTAAATGTCATCTGACTAACTAAGAATTTTAATCACATTTGGCACTGTTTAAGAAACAACAACAAGTATTTACTACAAACTACAAAAACCTGGCCAATTTTGTCAAGTGTCTGTCCACCTGACTGTTATGCTACGTATATTTTTGGGTCTGCTGCATGGGAATGTAGCATAAAATGTATAATGTGAAAACTTATTTTCTAAGAAATTTTATGGGGTTCCTTAATTTTTAAATTAAATTTGGGCAATATTTTACAGTATTTGAAGACATATTTAAATAATTTTCCTTTCACTGAGATATGTAATGTTCCTAAAATAATGCAAAACTTATACACATACCAATAACAGTTCTATGCATTTACATTCAAGTGACTACACATGAAGGAACATGGCATGCTATTTAATCTTCCATTTTCATCACTGAGAACAAAAAAAGTAAAAGTCCATAGTGGCCTTCTGGGTTGTGATGACATATGGACTTATAGGTGGGTACCAACATTTTGGGGGATGAAGAGGAAGGTAGTATGCTCCTCCAAAATGCTTCCCCGGTTTCTCCGTGGCATCCCAACAATTACTCCATTCACACAAAGAAGAAGGCAATGGCAAACCACTTCTGGATCATCTGCCAAGAACGTATATGAACAGGTCCCAGTCCGAGAAAAGGATGGAAGGATCCTGTTCATATGGACCTGTCGTCAGACAGAACACTAAATAAATAAATATAATATAAAGGTGTGTCCAGGATATAGGGGTGTCCAACTAGAGGGGTTTTACTGTATTAATTATATAACATACAGGTCCATTAGTACAGCCTTCATCTTTGACCTGCTTACATTTGGTACAGGCTTAAGGCTTAAATTTCCCTTCCACCTTTGAAATGCCATAATGCATGGAAACAATTTTCAGAGCTTTTAGCTACAAGGGACATTTGTTGGCGATGAAATGGATAAAGTATGTATGTCCAGTTTAACATTATTTTGCACTAATTTACAGTATCCTGATTGTTAGATTGTTAGTAATGTTATTTCCTCCAAACTATATGTAACGATCATACTACCACGGTTAGGTGTTCTTGAATTTGACAGTGCCTTTATTCCAAAACAAGTTATGATTACACTACTACGACTTGGCCATGGTCTTACGTATGAAAGTGGTGAAGGTGAGACAGGCATCAATCAAATAGAGGCATCAAGAGATACATTCTATTACATCTCAACAAACTGATTCAGCTCAAAGTCCTCTGTTTGTTAAATTACAACACATTAAAACCAAGATTATATTTGCAGATCAGTACAGTCATTATACAGTGAAAGAGGCGGAAATACAGATTGATGGTATTAGCACCCAAGGAGAAAATATAGCTGACAATGGTGGCATAAAGCAAGCTTTCCGGGTAAGAAGCTAATAGATAATAAAACTTTGTATGATCCATTATCTGGAAATAGTTCATCTAGGCACTGGATGTAATATCTTCCTGTTGTAATAGAATTCTACTGTAGGGTATGTCAAAATGAAAATAAAATGACAGGAAACATATTCAGACTGGGAAACAGTTAACAGAAGCAGTATACAATATATTACTGGTATCTTAAAATACATAATACATAACTAACATTTAACACAAATTAACATTACTGTATATTGCACCAGTCACCCATCATCATCAGCATTATATTAATATTCATAAGGTGACAGGCATTTCAAAGCTAGTAGTTCATTTATTTAGCTTTCATTACTGAACCTTATATAAATTTTGAGCTAATTATTGTTTATTCAATATATTTTATTTATAAAGGTAGCTATAATCAAGTTGAATAATGTTAAAAGAAATATTTTAAAACAGAGGCAAAGCTAAGAGATGAATTTGCTCCTTATAAAATGTGTGTAAGGTAGTGATGGAGTAGTACTTGTTTTACAAAACCAAACTAATGAAAGCCTTTGTCCAGAATCCCCAAATAGAAGATTCCCACCAAGTATTTCAACAAAAATTTTACTAGGCATTTTCATAAATTTCTGCTTAGAAATCTCGAGCACTTATTGGGCATAGTGGTTTTTACAGTATTTCAATTCCATACATGGCCAGAATTGTAAATGCAGGAAAGAAAACAATAAATTCATTATATTCATAAATGCCTAGTATTCTATGATTACATTTGATTTTGTTCAGTGTTTGCTTCCATGTAAGTACCTGTATCACTGGTAATCACATATCACACATACTCACATCCAAGATTTGTGACGATAAGAATCCTGAGTCACCCATTTGTCTCCAGTCTTGTTATTAAAGTGATTTATTAGGCATTAAAAATTTAATTAGTAACTATAAGTTCATCACATATCAAATGAAAGTGTTACTCATACTGGACATATTTTTATGTTCAGGCTTATCAAAGGTGGCTGAATGAATACGGGGATTTTGGTGAGACTCTTCCAGGTATAAATGCAACAGGCCATCAATTATTTTTCCTGAACTTTGCTCAAATATGGTGTGGTACGATGAGACCTGAAGCCACACGTAACATACTTAAAACAGCTGTCCACTCACCTGGGAAGTTCAGGTTTGTATAGAAATGCCTCTCTGAACTAGTTTTCAACATTCTGAATTTTTATCCTAGAGACTACCTTTAAATATTTATATTTTTACATTCTTTAATGTATCAGAACTAAACCCCCCTCCCCCAAGTGACCTTTTATATGTAATGAGTCACAAATTAACAATTGCTGATTGCAGATAATTACAAGACTGCACAAAAATTGTCATTTGATTCAAGAAATTTAAAATTGTATTCAAAATCATTTCCACCCAGAAAATAAAACTCAATACCTATTTATCCTAATCAGTCCTCAGTTAAAAATTACGTGCATTAAAACAGTTTAAACATTAAAACTTAACTAATCACAGAACTGTAAAAAAGCATTTGTTTCATTAATAATTTTAACTGAATTCTTACCAGCTGTTGTAAGAAGACATTCCAACAGGCAGTCATGCAGTCTGTTATTAAATGCACTTACACATACCTGGACAAGGATAAAAGCAAAAATTTACATACACTTATTGTAGCATACTTGGAGAAAAGAGAAAATGAAAACAGAGCAAATCTGATGAATATCAGTTCATTTTACAGACTTCCCAATAAAAAGATAAGTGGCACAGAATATTACACCAGACCCATATATAATGGAAATGATGGTAGAAAATTAATATCACAGGATTTTAAGACATGTCTGGGACCCATTCCCTTATAGCCTTTTGTACTTTTCTACAAAATTTTTATTAAATATGTTTTTCAGCAGCATAACCAGGGCTCCAGAAATACTCTCACCTATTCACTATAGGAAATTTTATGGAGGTCAGTGGCAAATACAATTTTAAAGTTTGGAATATACATATGGGAAAATAAAATTTGTTTGTTTAAGTAGTATTTCTGGAGTCCTGACCATGAAAATAAGAGATTGATTGTAATTTTTACTTTTAATATTTTAGGGTAATAGGAACTTTATCCAACTCTGAAGATTTTGCATTAACGTTCAAGTGCCAACTTGGAATGCCCATGAATCCCATAAAAAAATGCTCAGTATGGTGATCAGCCTCCTCGGATTACGGCCGTACAGCTCACTACGTAACAGCGAGAATCAACTAAAACACTGACGATCTACGTGTTAAATTTGCGTCTTCAGTAAACCATCCATGAAGACATTTAGGCACTGGACTTGGAGTGGTGAAGGTTGCTCGACTCAGTTCTCGCCACGTAGAAGCATCCAATACAAGTATTCCTACCTCTCTTTCTAGTCCTTTGCCCCATACCAGTGCTGATAATACAACTCCATCATCCTCATTCTGGTACCAGAGCACATAAAATGAAGCAATGTCTTATATTCTTATATGAAGGAATCTTACAATTATAAACTTATTCATTGTAATATCATTAATACAAGAATACAGTGGCTCACCTTAGGATGTGGTGAGGGTACAAAAATTGGCTCACTTGGATACACATTTTCCTCACACCACGTAAACCTCGTGCAGGTTTTAATATCCACTTTAATCAGCTGAAACAATGTACATTATTTTACTACTGGATATTATCTACTAGAAATGTAATGTATATTTCTGTAAACCTGTGCAAAAAGCTAAAAGAGGAGTACCAAAACTGGGACCTGACCATGAATAAGAACGAGGCGAAATATCTCTGCACAGGAGGACAGGCAGAAATTTGCAGCTTGATGATGGTATCAGGGTGTGGGCTTGTGAAACGTGTACACTGGGGTGAAGGTTGACAAGAGTAGGAGATGTGAGACGGAAATTCTAAGCAGGATATCTAAAGGAAAGAGGGCTATAAGAGCTCTGAATTATATCTATGGTGAAATACCATAAAAATTAATGTAAATAAAACACATATACAACTTCTTCTTCTTCTTCTTCTATGGCTCTCCGGTCCGTATTTGGTCCATGGCCTCCTCAATTCTCCTGTTCCATTCGGTCCTTCTGTTAGGTCCATCTTCCGAGGTTGAGGTTTCGAAACATCTTCCTTTTTAGGTGCAAGGTTGTTAGCCTTGCGACCAACCCCCAACCTGGAGGACCAGGGTACCTGTCTTAGTCTGACCTCACCCCCTCGACCAATGTGGCTAGGGAGGCCCTACCAGTAGCTATGCTACCGCCAGCATATACAACACCATTCTTAAAAGTATACTGTTATACAGGTGCAAAGTGTAACAGGTAGGGAGAGGGAAAAACAGAGGATCATGGCCACTGAAATGGATTACTTGCAGAGGGCAGCAAGGATCTCTCGATCGGATAAAGTGCGAAATGAATGAATCAGGGAGATTATGAGAGTGGACAGAAACATAATGGATGACACGCAAGCCAAACAATTAGTATGGTATGGCGATGTAAAAAGAATGAGGGAGGAACATTTGCCAAAGCAGGTTTTGGAATGGCAGGCGGAAGGTTGTAGATTTAGAGGAAGACCTAGAGTGACGTGGAAAGGAGATATGAAGGCAATGTCAGGAAGGAATTGAATGAAGGAGACTGGATGGATAGAGAATCGTGCAGAGCTCTGCAAACATACATACAATTTCTGTTGAATATTTAACAGTGTTCCTTTTTCCATGAGTTTAAATTTAAAGAACAAAAATTGATTGTCTCTTTAAGAAAAGGTTCAAAATACTGCAAGGAGTGGTTTAGGTTGCATGTATAAGTGAACAGTAATTATATTTATAACAAGAATAATGAATTTGCATCCCTTTGTGTTTTTTATTTATAAGGACAATTAAATTAAGTTAAAATATACTCTCCATAATATTTATCCAGATTTAAACCCCCGTCGGGGATCGAACCCCGGCCGTCCAGCCCGTAGCTAGTCACTATACTGACTGAGCTATCCCGGCTCATGATATATGGAGTACAAGAGTGTGAAACACTGTAGAGTCTTTCTGTTATGCCCCATTTGGTAAGACTGTAAGTACTATTCCTAATGTCACATGGTCTATTTTTAAGTCATTACAATTCTACTGTTTTCATCATCCCATTATATGGCATCGGAAAGCATATTAACCCTTTCAATGCTGTGAATAATCTGTACATCCCAATACCATTGATTTCTTCTGATATAAATGCTTCTGAATTGATGGCATCAGATCTTTTCTGTCATATTTTGATGATTTTATTTAATTGCCGTGTCCTGCAATCCAGGCATTATTTTTTTAAAATAATTCAGCACAGAAAGGGTTAATAAACTGACTTTCACAGAGATGTCTTTTTTGGACTCACTGTGCCTGGGTTATCTGCATCAACATCGGATGAAATGGCATAAAAGTATCGGTAAGACCGTCCAAGATACTTCTCATAATAAATTCGGGGTGTTTCACAGCCAAGATCACACAGAAGTTCAGGCTGTGACAATATTTTTCCATCAGACAGTTGATAAGCAGTAGCTTTGGCTCCTTGCAATGTTACCAGGTTTGTTTCTGGAACAGTGTCTGAGGAAACGTCCTTTAGCGGCAACACAAATCGCAGAGGTCGACCCCGGAACATTTTGGCATAATCGGGATTCTTCTGAATATTCTGCATTGGAATTTCCATGTTTATTAAAGTAGACACGTAAAATAACTCAGTAAAAAAGAAAGAATAAGTGACTGAATAATTTACCGACTACGCTTAATCCCAAGAAACATAAATATCATGATGATAAGGCGACAACAAATAATAATAATGTAAGTACCTTTACATAATGCATCATAGTGTGTGTTAATATTCTGTGAAATAATTTTGTGGCCACAAAAATTTAAAAGTTTCTTTTTGTATATTGTTAAAAACATTTAAACTTTTTAGCCAGATATATGAAATATGTCATCACAAGATACTGTAGATCTACAATTTTTCTTCAGGAAAAATGATTTTGTCAGGATACAGGCGCTGCCAAACTGACTATTGTGTCTCATTACAACACACTGACAAATTACTTAAGCTCAAAATCATGATCACAGATGTAAACCCTAATGAACAAGCTCAGAATAAGTACTCCATTCCAGAATCAACATAATATCACGTTTTCTTACATGCACTGAGAGGTATTACATCTGCCTTGTCTTGTAAAAATAAATTTACAAATTTTGAAAATTTAGAATTTTCTAAATGTTCTAAATTTTCAAAATTTCAAATTGCAGAATCAAAAATTTCATAATTCCCACATTCAAAAATCATATTTAATCACTTATCCTAACAAAAACTAAACAAAACCAACCAAACATATCGTGTCTTCACTTACCCTAACAGACCTGACTTGACTTAACCTAACCTAACCTAACATGCCCCAACAAAAACAATCTTAACATACAGTGAAGCTTTTGCAGTGACTGAAGTTGCCATTGAAATAACACATAAGAGGGGTTGCCAATGGTAACCATGCTAACAATTGTAAACAAACAAATTTCCACATGGCCACCAGATTTCAGCACCTCTAAGTCCATCTCACAACGTTTCTCAAGTACTTTTATCATCACTTGTGGGGTATTCCGAAGTACAATTCAAATTTCATCCAAATCTGTCCAGTCATTCTCTAGTTAAATCAACTGGATATACAAATGGACACACATGAAGAGCCCATAATGCATTCTGCCTGTGCACTTCATGAAAAGAACACATAAGAAATGTATTGAAAACAATCCATATAAAAATACAAAGAGTTTCCACATATTCTTTACAAATTCTGAATGTTTAATGTGCCTAGCTGATATAAGAAAGAAATACCATGGACCCCAAAGTCATAACATCCATACTAAATTTCATGCAAATCTGTCCAGCAATTCTTGAGTCGAATCATGCAGAGAGACAGACATGGATTAATTTAATGCACATCATGCAGGGAATGGATGTGTAATTAAGAACAAAATGCCTATATACAACCTATTGATATAAAACAGAGTTCATGTTTCAAGAGTTACCATTAAAGCATCCACGTACATGCAATCCAACATAGCGGCATCTTTGTAACAACATATATCAATAATCAGATGATCATCTTCTTCATAAGAGTTGATAATATGGAGGTAAAAGAAAGCATCTGCAAGGAATGTCTTGAACAACTGACCATCTTTTCTACGCATAAGAAGAATATGAGTCTGAAACAATACACAGACGTACGCATGCATACATGTTTATTCACCGACCACGAGAAAAGCCCTGCGGGGGGAAGTCGTTTCTGGTGCGGTGCAGGGGGAAGTGTGACACGCCAGAGTTTTCCACTACTACACAGACTGAAAACATCAAGCAGTTAAAAGTAGCGTGTAGTGAGTGCACCTGTACTGTGTTCTGTGGGTGTTGCGATAATATTCTAGATTAAATCACTGTGCCGCTGTGAGGTAATCTTAAAGCTGTACCCATTAGAACACATGAAAGCCTGTCGTCTGTTGCCCGTTCAGTGGTTGTGGAACGAATGCTTTAAGGATCGGTTGTCACTCGCCGCGAAATCTTGCGCATGCGTATATCGAATTCCTAGCAGGGCCTTACTCCTGGTCTGTATTTTGTTAAGAGCTGTATTGTAATTATACTGAAACCTCCAAATATTAACATAAAGAACAAAGGAAAATCAATTCATGTGTGTGCGTGCGCGTTAGCGATGTAGTACCACGTGCTATGTGATTATACTAGGGCAACAATTCAAATTTTTCTAATCAATAAATATGTCTATATCTCGTTGCTGTCATACTTACCCGTTGATCTTGGTACCATTTGAAGCTTGCTCCCATTGGATCATTCAAAAGATGAGTTTGCATCATGGTTGGTATAGATATAGACAAAGGTTGTTCCACAATCACAAAGTAATTTTCAGTGATGCCAAAAGTATGCATATAAGCAGGCTGAAGAGGCCATCTGGCAGGAACGGAGCCCATTATACTGGCTAACTCAAACATACTCAGTCTTCTACTGGGAAACCCATCAGCTGATTCTGGTAAAAAAATGGCACTGAATATAAAAAATTTCAAACACAGTGATTTCATTTAACATAAAATGTAGTTAGCCTTCTGAAGTTGCCAAAAATGCGGCGTGTCAGACGACGCGAGGGAGGGCGCAAACAGACCAGTTCCTAAGCAACGACGCTATGTATTCTATTCATATCCTTTACTGAGTGGTTAGCATTCCAGCGTCATATTCAGGAGGTTCTGGGTTTGATTTTCACCCCAGATGCAACTTTTTTCGGTTGGGATTTTTTTTTAGCTATTTTCAGTCTCAGTAGCCAAATGCTCGCGTAGCAACTTAGAATAGGCCACAACAACTTCCTTAAACATTTCCATTTCACAATAATCTCGTCCAACACTTAGAATGCATTTCTAAAGTACTGTTTAACTATTGAAATGACAATTATGGCACATGTTCTCAGTCCGCAAACTGTGACATAAAAAATATACCTGCAGATGCAATGTCATAGGCTGCTGGAAATTTGATGATTGAGTAGTGGGGTCCAGTAACTGTTAAAGACATTCCCATGTTGTACACTGTGCCATCCTTCATCACATGTGGATGTGATGTATGATTTACAATCCCCACATACTTGGAAACATTCACCTAAAATGCCAAGAAGTAAATGGTTTCAGAAGAGGGTAAGTTTCAAATTCTGGGTGCTTTAACTTTGGGGAAGTAAGTCCCTGGTACACACACACGTGTGTGAGTGTGTATAAAATCAGGTTATTTTAGGCATATTGTGCAAAAAACACAAAAAAACATTTGATGAGTGATCAGCTTGAAGCTCCTCTCTCTTTGCTCTCGACAAAGAAGCCTCCCAGTACCTACGTTGATAAATTTCTACCAGACCACACGGTGTTACGACCCACAAGACAGCCATCTTCTTATTACTTAGATTTATTGCACTTGTTTTGCAATATCAAGAATACGTAGTCTCACTCACCCTTTCCAACGTGTCTAGAGTTTTGAGGTCAAATCGGTGGATCACGGGGGACTCTGTGAAGGCGTACAATTCGTCTCCGAAAGGATACACGGAGATCATCGCGTTATCTGACATGGATTCTCCAGGCGTGAACAGAGCAGACACCCTGGGAGCAAAACGAATCAAACGTTCGAGCGTCATTCTTCTCAGTTTTAATTCAATTAACGATGATAAAATTGAAACTTTACTTCACAGTCCTACACAAAATATGAACGTCACCACGAAATACAAAATACAAACCTAATAATGACCAGGGATAGTGCAACGAACGAAGAAATAGTGAAGGACATGTACTCATCAGAAAATGAAGACTATAAATCATAGAAAACAATAAAAATCAGTGATTAGTGATAGGTTTATACTACATAACACCCGTTGATGGCTAAATTGTAGCCGAAACTAGTCGTGTAAGTTCCTATGTAATCGAGTACTCGATGGGGAAAGTTAAATGATATTTTAATCTTTTAACAATATTATAATTGTGATTGACGGCAAAAAATTTTAATATATTTTTAATAATTATGAATCACAATATGACGCATTTACAATATCTTATTTAACAAATGTTTCTGACTTTAAAGCTGTTATCTTGTTTTAGGCACCTCTTGACAGTCAGGGTGAAAATATTCTGCAAGATAAGAAAGCTGTATGTATCAGTCAGTTGTCATTAGTCGACCTGGCTGGGAGTGAGAGAACAAATCGAACAAAGAATTGTGGACAGAGGCTTCGAGAAGCAGGTACACTTATTTGTTTATTAATAGTCTTATATAATAAGTGGTGATTTTTGATGCTTCTAAATGTTTTCACTTCATTTGGGGCTCCTATATTCTGATTTCCCCATTACTATTTGTAGGTCAGATGATCTGTGACTTGAAACATTTTAAGTGCAAAATGCTGGCATGTTTGATGAAAATAAGTGAAATGAAACTAACAGCAACTGTGGAATAACATTATCCGTCTTACAATTTATGCACTTTTAAATTATGTGCTAATCACTGAATATTAATGTATCAGTTTGGGAAATGTGGTTGTAAGCTAGTACCATGCGGACATGTGAAATATATAACCAGTTTGTTTGCATTTTTGTCTTAGTTCATTAAAAACTTTGTCATCTGTGCTTTGCAGTCCATCTTGACTTGTTACTTGTAAGTCCAAAACGTATAGTCTCTTCTGTAATTAGTCCTCGCTGTCATTCCTACTTTCCTTTAGTAAAAGTGCATACTAGTATGACATTTTTATGACCAACAGCACATGGTTAACAAGTTCAAGAATCTTAATTTAATTGCTAATGGCACTTACTCTGCCTTAAAAACAATGATAATTTAATGTACATTAATTATTATAAGGAAATTAATTTAATTTAATGTTTTTCTCGTAAATGGTCAGATTTAGGGAACCGCTAAAGAGTGCTAAGCAAGAGCTGCCTCTGAGTGTGTGTGCATAACAGCAAATCAGTGGATGAACTATTACCATATTTACTTGTGTTTAACACTTTCTCCCCCTCCAAATTTATTTGTTCTTAAAATTAGGGTGCATGTAGTACATGAAACAGTGTGTGTCACCAACAATCACAAAATATGAGTATGTATTAAGGTGGCGACTGACTTGTAA